TGTGCTTTTTAACACAAAATTATACAAATAATCAGTCGGAAATCCAAAATAATGCTAGCAGTGCTTTTTGAGATAAAATGTGAAAAAAAATGCTCGCGAAGCCAAATAATGCTAAAAAAAAAAGTGCTAGCACTATCGGTAAGAGCCAGAAACTGACAGACGGTTTACAGCTGCTAACAAACTTAAATATACTTTGCTTAAAGGCTCGAAGAAATGTTTAGCACAATTGAATTTCGTTATTTCATGTTGTTGTTGTTGTTGTTGTTTTTTTGAAAACAAAAACACCTCTAATAAAACACGCTAAAAGCCGTACTTCTACACAAAACTAGTGTGAGTTGTTGACGTGATGGGGTGCGCAAAAAGTTGCATTTTGATCGTGTAAATGAATGAATTATTTTTCTTTCTTTTTCTTGCAGTGTTGTCTTGGTAAAGGACGTAGGAAAACAAGTTTCAGTGCTCCAATTGAGATATCACATGTGAAATTAAGGTCTTGGAGAATTCGCAAAAGGTGTTGAAAAACTGGCCAACGTCATTTTTCTGCCTGTTTTCTAAAACTATGACTCGTGTTCCTAAAACTTGATTGTATCTCGTGAAACGCTTTTTTTATCATTATTTCTCAATGTATTCAAAACTGGGAAATACTCAAAAGCAAACGACACATCTATCACTATTCAACACAATAAACACTGGGCAGTTATTAAAATACAACTGTTGTTAGGGAAGTTTTAAGTCATCAGATAAAGCACAGATCGACGTGTTATTATCCCACGCTGTAATAAAGCTGCGACCTCCTGCTTTCAGTTTTCATTTTTCAAGAGAAAGGCGCTCTTTACAGCAACTTTAATTGTTCTGACCACCAAAGCAACGATGACTAACGTTACTGGAGATGGAAACTTCATAAGCAAACTGAACCAAGCCCTCAGAGCACAACAAGATGGGGTACTTTTATTTTTTTCAGCTTTGAACATTGTTCTTTCCATCACCGCATCGCTGGGNAACACCTCTAATAAAACACGCTAAAAGCCGTACTTCTACACAAAACTAGTGTGAGTTGTTGACGTGATGGAGTGCGCAAAAAGTTGCATTTTGCTCGTGTAAATGAATGAATTATTTTTCTTTCTTTTTCTTGCAGTGTTGTCTTGGTAAAAGAAGTAGGAAAACAAGTTTCAGTGTTCCAATTGAGATATCACATGTGAAATTAAGGTCTTGGAGAATTCGGAAAAGGTGTTAAAAAACTCGCCAACTGCATTTTTTCTGCCTGTTTTCTAAAACTCTAACTCTCTGATTGTATCTCGTGAAACGCTTTTTTTATTATTTTTTCTCAATGTATTCAAAACTGGGTAATACTCAAAAGCAAACGACAGATCTATCACTATTCAACGCAATAAACACTGGGCAGTTATTAAAATACAACTGTTGTTAGGGAAGTTTTAAGTCATCAGATAAAGCACAGATCGACGTGTTATTATCCCACGCTCTAATAAAGCTGCAACCTCCTGCTTTCAGTTTTCATTTCTCAAGTAAAAGGCGCTCTTTACAGCAACTTATATTGTTCTGACCACCAAAGCAACGATGACTAACGTTACTGGAGATGGAAACTTCACAAGCAAACTGAACCAAGACCTCAGAGCACAACAAGCTGGGATACTTTTATTTTTTTCAGCTTTGAACATTGTTCTTTCCATCACCGCATCTCTGGGCAATGCTCTGATCCTTATTGGTCTTCATAAAGTCTCTTCTATTTATCCTCCGACGAAACTTTTCTTGCGATGTCTGGCGGTCACTGATCTGTGCGTTGGACTTATGATACAACCACTCTTTGTTACAAGCATGTTGGCTCCTTTCACCAATATGGACGTGAATGCTTTCA